CGCCAGCCCCGAGGCAGCACGTTCGGTCCTCTGCCTGCAGCGGGCGGTTCCCAGTCCCTCCTCGCGTGATGGCCCAGGCGGACCGCCGTGCGAGTGAGTGGACGCGGAGCTCTTCCCGGCGGCGCTGCCGGCTGCCCTCGCGGCCAGGGCGTGCGGGACTCCCCCTGTCCTGGGGCTCCCTCCCGGGCGCCTCCTCCGCGCTCTTGGCACACCGCCCCAGAGTCCCGGGCTGGCCTGGGAGGAAACATCTGTCGCGCCCCCTGGCAGCTGAAATAGGGTCATGACCTCCAGATGTGCTGGGAAGTGTCCAGTGTCTCCTCCTGGGGCCACAGCCCTTCCGGATCTGTGGGGGTGGGGCTGGACCCCTCCTCCTGGGTGACACAGGCCTCAAGGAATGTCCTGGCCTCAATGGGCCCTGTGTGAAGCAGCCCCGGGTGGGGGTGCGGGGCGAGGAGCTCAAGAACACCCCCTACTGCCCCAGGCAGGGCCAGAGCCTGGCTCAGGCTAGAGCAACATGCAGCCAGGGGCCGATACAAAGACACAACTCCAAACCTGCAGCAGGGGCCGGGCTCCAGTGACCGCCCTCACTTCAGCCCCGTCCAACTCCCCGCAGCCTGAGGCCAGATCTTAATCAGTGCCCTGTTGTAAAGATAACAGGGTCAGGTTCAGGGTCAGCTTCTCTTAGGACAGTGGTTCTCCACCTTCCTCATGCCGCCACCCTTTCATACGGTTCCTCATGGGGTGGTGACCCCCCAACCATAAAATTATTTGTTGTTGCTACTTCATCACTGTCATTTTGCTACTGTTCTGAATTGGCTGACCCCTGTGAAAGGGTCGTTCGACCCCAAAGAGGTCACGACCCAGGTTGAGAACTGCTGTCTGAGAAGAAACCAAAGGAGAAGGTACGCTGGGCTTCGAAGACCTCCCTGCTTGGACCCCCACTCCCTCCAGCCTCCTTGTCCAGCCCCACATGCCATCGTGCCAGCAGGTGCCCACGTCCCCCGGCTCTGCCCTGCACCCGCTCCATCTTGAGGTCACCTGGGGGTTGCGCCCCCACATTCTCACACCGCCTTTGCCCCTGTCCCTGGCCTCACCTCATTTCCGCACTCAGCAGGTCCCTGGGGCCTTGGGTGTCTCAGTCTAACATCCTGTGAGACCTTAAGCCTCAACCCCACACCTACACACAGCGACAGGAGTGGCTTCACCTCCGTTTATACATCTGCCACACAAGATTCACACCTCCCTGTCAGCACCAGTGAGGCTTGGTGGGGCCGGGTGCCTGAGATCTGCATCTCCATGGTCCATTCTACCAGCCACCCTCCATTCCCCTCCCGGCTGATCTGCCAGGGAATAGACCTGGGTCTGTCCTTCGGGTCAGGGTGACTTGGGTCCCATGACTGAGCTGTTGTGACCCCAGCACCTTCCTCAGGATGTGGGGCTGGGTAGGGGGCTGGGCCCAGAGTTGGGGCCACTTCCTGTGCCGAAGGAAGTCCTCTTGCCGGCCCTCTGGCGCTCTGTGGGAAGCCCTAAGGCAGCGAGGTACTGAGGCTGTCAGGGCCAGAGCGCTGGTGGGCGACCTCTGGGTGTTCGGCTCCTCAGGGACCCTGGAGGAAGTGGGAGGGCCAGGGAGGAAGGTCTCTGGGGACCGGACGTCCTCCCTTTGTCAAGCGGGCAGGACCCAAGGCCCGGCCAGCCTTTGGCTTTCCTGGCCCGGCCGAGACAGTCTTATCTCCACTGTTCTTGTGGTGGGGAAGGTCCACTCCAGGCCTAGGCCAAAGTCGAGGTGTGTCTGGGAAACTGGGGGGGTGGGGGTGGAGGGGCATGGCAGCCCCTGGCTCCAGGACCCTCAGGGCCACCCAGCCCAGCCCCAGGCCCAGCCAGCCTGGGAGGGGGCTGGAAACCTCAGCCCTGGGCAGACGAGGAAGTGGCCAGGAAAGCGGAAGCGGCTTTGATGGTCGAGGAGGGGGCCGGAAGCCAACCCGGGTGGTGGAAGACCAGGCTGGGGGCCCGGGTTCCTGTTTTCGCCCCAGGCCCCTGTGAGCAGTCCCCTCTTTCCTCCGGACAGGAACCCCTGCCACCACTTCGGCCCGCCACTGGCGGGCC